ACTGATCCAAACTGTTGTGGCGTTCAGTCCATTGGCGGATGACATCAGTTCTTCAACAATGGACAGCACCCAAAACTTTGGGTTTTGGTGTCTAAAACCTCGCTCACCTATATTTTCAACATGTGGGGGAGACATTTATTTTACCCAAGCTTATTGCTCTGTAATACTTGTGCCTAACTGACAAAACATAGATAATAATCATTAGTTTGTAATTATTTTCCTACTGTTTAAAGATAGCTTTGTCCCTTTTGGGTCAGTTTCTGATAATTCTCTTATGTAAAATAATAACGGATCTTGTTAATGGTGTGAAACCACTTGCCCCAATTTAATTTTAAAAGGGAATTGTGCCCTTTAAAACATGGCAACAATCACAGCCATTTATTGTAGCTGCCATTATTCTGATGTATGATAAGTTGCAAGTGCTTGGGGTTCTAAACACACTTGTGAAAACAAGATTAAAATAGGAGCCATAAATCCACCGCAGCTTTGACAGTCCTGTAATTCCACATTGACAGTTACACGGGGATAAAGGGTTGTAAACTAGGTTTTATGTTGCCCGCTTGAACATTATCATAAATACACAATGCTCGGCAGTATGAATCACAATGGAAAGTTGGTGGTAAAGAAATGAGGTTGCTGTTGGTAATCTCATCTGTTGGACAGCAAAGCCGGTCGAATCAAAGCGCCGGTTCACAAGCTGTGGAAGCAGAAGGTGCTTATTTGGAGGTCGCTGCTTTGGAAGTTGGAGGGGATAGGTGGGTGTTAGTGTGGTTGTGGTTGGAAAATAAGGCACTGCATTAGTATGTTGGAGAGACACTGTCTTTCTTGTGTGGTGCTCACATCCTTAAGCCTTTGGTGTCTCGATGTGAATCCCACACTGCCTTGATAGACTGGGTTAATAAACCTCTCAGCAGCACTATCCCTCTCTTGTACTCGCACGCACGCACGCACGCACGCACGCACGCACGCACGCACGCACACACACACACACACACACACACACACACACACACACACACATACACGCAGCTGCTTATTATTTCATGCCCCATAAGGGTGCTGTGACCACAGACATTGTAATACACATATCCAATTAGTTAAGCATTGCACCACTGCTGGTCTCAAGCTTGGATTTTCACAGCTTCTGAACGTGCACTGCACATCATACGTTTTGTTGTTCGTTGTGGATCGCCACAGTTTTTGTTGTCTTTGAAGGAGGAGTGAAAACCTCACAATGCAATAATATTCCAATTTCTATTTTTAATTTGTAGAATATAACAACGTTTGAATGATACAACATGAATACAGATTGTATTGAAAGCTTGCATGAAGTCAAGTCAAGGTTCTTTATTGTCATTCGCATCACGTGGTATGAGGTGGAACAAAACTGCGTACACAGGGTCCCAGTTACATCCAACAACAGCAAAAATATAAAGTGTAAATGGAAACAATAAATAAGGATCTAAGAAATAAATTAAGATATATGCCAAACTAATGCCAAACAGTACTCTAAAAGATCAAAGATATAAACTTAAGATATATGCTAAACAGTAATAATGTAAAATACACTGAACAACAGCAGAACGAAAAGGATGAAAAGAATCAAACTCCTATTTTATTTTGATTAAATCATTTGACAAATGTATACTCAACAATCTTATACTGTAGCTGTTATCTCCATCCTGTTTGAGCTTGGAACTGTGCTTTGGCAAAAGACAGTCAGCCCTGAGTGGACAACCAGCAATAAAAAGGCTGTCCTATTTCTAGGCTGCAGCTGGGCTTTTGAAGGGACTGTGTGCTGTAAAGGTGACATGGGTCAAACATTTCTTCTTGAGGGATGGCAGGAGTGTGACTGCTGACTACAGGTGGACAGGCATGTTTGTGGGCTTGTCTTTGTGGGTGGGTGGGTGATGAGCGTGATTAAACAACTGGCGACATTTCAAAGCACAAATATTTAATCAAACGAAGGCAACACATGCAGCAGTAGTGTTGACGCACCCCTTCTTAAATAGAATAGGATAAGCACCGCTGATAACAAATTTTGACAAAAGCCGGAGTGCTGACAGGGGAAGCATCAGAGCAGCACAGCTGACGACGAGACATGCTAACAACCTGTTGCAACTAGAAGGTGTTGATTACTCTTAAAGTAAAATAGACCTGCCGACATGTGCAACCATGTTCACCTGCACTTTTGTTACTCTGTTTAGCATTTTTATTGCTTTGGACTTCACAAAGACACATGACTTTAGACTAAAAGGATCTGTAATATTGTATTTAAACGTGATCAAAAATGAGAAAATCGTAGCAATAACTTGGGTAAAATGAAAATTTCATTAAATTTTTAGCTTGTCATTTAACAAACAAAAGACTAATCCTTAAATATACCACTATAAATCATAACAGAAATTGTATTTTCCATTTTTATAAAAAAAAAATTGATTTAACATACAGCTTAGGCTAAGGATATATTTGCTTGCTAACATTGTGCTAATATAGATTTATAGTTCATGTAGTTATTGATGTCATGTGGCTGTTACTGGAGTATTCAAGTTGAGGGCAGACTAGCAAACAGTTTTTAAAATCTTTTTTCTCTGAATACAAACAAATTACTTTCATTGTTTCAGCCTTGCATTCACAGGGAAATGGCTTTTTAGGATTCCTAAAATGGTATTTTGTAAAAACAGGTTCCAGAGTGAAAATAACTTTAATCGTCACCCTTGTGTTTTCATTTAAACTACCTAAACAAAACCTTTTGAAGATCTAACATATGACCAAGACAATCCATCCATCCATCCATCCATCCATCCATCCATCCATCCATCCATCCATCAATCAATCCATCAATCCATC